GTCCCTTAATGGGAAGAAAAGAGCATTAGAACTTGCAGTAATTCCTGCCCCCACATTCTGAGAAGCAGAACCAGTCTTGACAGCATGTAACCACCGCAGTGAAAACAGAGTTTTAGATATAGAAATAAAGAAAAGCCTCTTACGTGGTGTCCTCCCACCGCTGCAGACACTGGCTATGAAAGCTGTGGTTACACAGTGTGGTAAGGATCCCATTCACGGACTCATCCATCCTCTCCAGGCACACTGTGCACTTCGGGAGCTCTGTCAGATCCATCACAGGCAGGCTGGCCCCCTTCAAAAGAACAAGCAGAGACAAATTGCTCAGCACCTTCCAATCACCACAAATTAATCACCCACATAAGAAAATGTTAAACTTCTCTCCCATTAGTGATGGCACTAGAGTACAAAAACACCACAAAGTGATCCTGTGAGTCTACACAGTGGTTAGAAATTTAGAAGAAAAAAAAAAAAAAACAAAACGCGATCCACAAAATTCAACAGACTACAGCCTGGATCCTCATCACAGCATGGGCTCAGCGCAGCTGCTGCATCTGCAACCAGCCCCGTTCTGTTTTCTGGATTCACCCAATCTACTGCCCACAGCAGGTTTAAGTCAGAGATGCTGCAGTGGTGAGGCATGAAGCCCACAAAGTCACCAAACAAACTCTCCCAAGTAGCACTGGAATGGCAAACAGGGTTTGGGTGGATGCAGTAAAGCAGTTCTTGCTGCGTTCTGCCCAGTCCCAACCATCCTGTTCAAATTCTTTGAAGTGCAAGGAAAACAATACAAAGACTAACCAAAACAAACTTACATCTTCTGATTTGAGGACTTCAGCCCTTTCCACGTACACCAGCTGGCAAACATCCTCCTCTATAGAGTTAAACTGACGGCCATTGCATGCCATATAAAAGCTGTCTGCATCAGCCTGTACACAAAACAAAGGAAAAAGAGAAAATTCACAGCTGATACAACCAAGGAAGAGGAGGAGAAATCTGGTATATCCTCTCTTCTCCCCTCCAAGCCCCATAATACCAGAGGAGATATTTCAGACAGTCAGCTCCTGCCAGCAGGCACTGCATTTTGGCGCTGGGTTTAGCATTACCACTTGAAGACAAGAAGTGAAGTTCACAGCAGTGACAGCTACTCTGATATTTGAGCATTCAGCAGGAATAAGGGATTTCCCTTCAGCATCCAATTTGCCCTTTGTCAGCAATTTCAGTGCATTTGCAAAGCAAATTTGGTCTCTGCAAAAATTTAAGAGGGCCACGTCGCAGGACACTGATACTCATCAGGGAAAGGAACAACAATTTAACTGTGGGAAAGAATCCATTTCACTGGTCACAATTCAGGCACGCTCTGAACCGTGCTTGAGTGTCACTTGCAAAGAGACAGAATCAAAACAAAACCTGTCAAATACATCATCCACTTTCTCTCAGCAACCTCCCCAAACCCTTTCTCTTGCAAACGATCACACCAGAATGAGGCAAATTAGCTGAAGGCCATATTTCCATATTCCTGGTCACTCCAGCCAGAAGCACAAAGGCCCCTGAGATTTGCTTTTGCTACCTGCAGACACAACCATTAGAGGTCACTGGGGAACAGGGCTGCAGGGAATTTCCTAAGAAACAGGAATTTCAGGCTGAGTTGAATCCAAGCGGGTGGATTTGCTGCAAAGCTGTTTAGCACTAGGTATTTGCTCACGTAATTTGACAAACCGATATATAAAATGCATCTTTGCAACTACTGCAAATAGCATAAAATGCACACAAATACTGCATTTGTACAATAGGCATGGGAAATATCTCACACAGCATTCACAGCTGGGGGGAACCTCTCCCCAAACCCCAAAATAAGTCATTTGCAGTTGAGATAAGAGAAGGTACAGGTGGGAGGGTTCACAGAAGAATTGGCAGGGGGGAAGGCTTAAAGCTACATAGCTCAAGACGACTTGTAAGCAGCAAATTCTGTTATCTGGTTATCAACTCACCCCCTAAGCTCTCGGTTTTGGGGGCAACTGTCCTTTTCACACTGTACTGGCAGTGGCCGTGAAACCACCCAGCTCCTCAGAAAAGCAGAGCAAGTCTTTCCTAAAATGCAAATGAAGCCCCACTGGCTGGGTCCTTTCTGTTCAGCACAGCACACACCCCACTCTTTTTAATATGCTTTGAGACAGCAGAGATCTGTGTATCCTCACTATTTTTTTAAAATATCCTGCCAACAAGAAATAGAACAGCTAGAACATGGCAGACACTTGCCTCCAGGTCAAGGTGTGGGACTAATCCTAGTCAGCAGCCTTGGGAAAGCACTGGGCAGTAGGACAGGACTGTTTCTCTGAGGGTGAAGCGCAGCCTTGGCTAACAGCTGGCTGCTGAAGCCAGACAGCACTCCTCAACAAAAGCTCTACATGACAGTGCAGTCCCTTCAACAGCAAAGGAACTTCCAGCTCTTACCTGCGAGCTAAACTTTATCAGCACCATGTACTGGTTTGGAGTGGAATCTCGGATGATTTTCATGTGCTCGATTACTTCATAGAAGGAGGCCACGAACTTCATCAGGTCATGGCTGGTCATCGTAGCAGGGACCGTGAGGATACACAGCATGGCGCTGCGCCTTACGTCTTCTTTTAAAGAGGTCATCTTGCTGATAAACAACAGTGACACAACTTCATCTCGTTTCAGAGGGGACAAAGGCACAGCTGGACACATCACATTTTAACAGCTGCAGTTACTACAATAACTTTGTTGTCAATCTTACTCCTCTTTTGCACATTTGTAGATATTAAGAAAGAGAAGCAAGGGGCTGCAGTAAGCGTCCAACGTACCCGTGCAAAACTATTACTCTTTAGCAAAGGATTAAACTGAGCAGCTCTAATAAACAAGTTTGATCAGGAATAATTTGACATCTGTTTTTCCATAAAAACAGTTGAAGTTGGCAAGCCACAGATGCTCAGAACTATTCCTAAAACAAGCAACCAATGTTCGTTACTATTTCAAATGCCCATTTGGTGCCTCCTGATAGGTTTTTCAGGAAGACCTGAAATGGAAATTCTCACACAATTATAGGAGAACGGTGTGGAACTGTAATCCCTGAAACACGGGATGAAAGCTCCTCAGACAGCTCCTCAGGCCTGCCGCCAAGACCCCAGAGATCACAATTTAATTGTGGAATCCCTTGAGAAGCTGCTTTCAAATGTCATTTTTTAGGAACCCACAATTGTTTTATGCTATTACAGCTCCTGGGACAAGCACTCTCCACCCAAAGCAGCCTCACCTGCAGCTGCAGGACCCAGGCCAGACTCACACTCTACCATTACCACAAGGACTTGCCCTCCCGGTGCGAGTCACCCTTCCTGTTTGTCCCAGCTGAGGAGCCACAGCCCCGGGGGGACAGACTCACTCTTCCGGGTGGCAGCATTATTCAAGAGCACTGTTCCCACTAGAGCTACAATTAGTCAAGCATTCTTACTTTGTTTTGTACAGATGCATAATGCCATGAACAATTTCAACTGAGGGGTTCCCGCTGAAGAAGGAAATCTGGTCAGGGAGCTGTTTTGAAGGTGAGTCTGGAGCAGCCTCGCGCTCTTTACTTTGATCGTCATGTTTATTTTTGTCCTCAGCAGACACAGCCTCTGAAGATTTTCTTCCTTCCATGGCAGCTTTTGTTTCATCTTTTACAAATCAAAAGTTTCCACGTTACTAACGGCGCATCAGAAACATCTGCTGTTCCCTAAGCACAGCCTGCACGTACACAAACAGCACCCCGAGAAGTCAAATTACAACCCTGGAAGGCAGCAGAACAAGACACCTCTCACCTTTGTTGTCCCAGGGAAAACTCCAGAGCTGCCAGACACCCACCGGGAGCCCCTGGTTCTGCAGATCAAGCCAGGAGAGTTTTGTACCATGCCCAGTAACACCCCAACAGGCACCAGTATCAACACAAAGCAACTGGGCCAGGTGTGCTGAGCAGGGGTGAGGAGCAGGCTGCTCCTCCCATGCTGCTCCGCCTGCACCTCAGATGTTTGACAAGACTCAAAGTGTTACCATCTTTAAACTTCCCCCCATTCGGGGAATTGAAACACCTGCAGAACTGACTGGTGTCATTGCTACAGACCAGCAATACTGGCAAGCAAAACAATGACCAGGCTGTGGCAGAGCCAAAAATAAATTAACCCTTTAGAGTGGGAAACGTTTGCTAGGAATAACCAGCTCTCCTACCCACACCCCCAACGCACTCTCCTTGACTTTTTTGTTTTCCAAACTGCCCGCTTAAGTCAAGACCGGCAAACCCAGCCCTCCCCGCACTGACTGACCGCTGTCACCGGCGCCCGCGGAACACCGCGCTGCCCTGCCACAACGAGGGGGCTAACCACCGACCCAAAAAAGAGGCAAAGACCCAAAAAAAAGAAAGTTACTCGCCCCCCCCCCCCGGGGCCGGTACCTGGCCGCGGCTGGAGGGTCTCGATGATCACGTCGGTCATTTCCCTGCGGCCGAGGTGCTGGTGGAGGATGGCCGCCCGCTCGCCAGGGCCTTTCCCTTCCAAACAGGCCGGCGGGGCCGCCCCGGTGCTCTCCGCAGCCATCTCCGGAGCTGCGCAAGGGAAAACACGAGGCGTTGGGGCAAGGGGGTGGGAGCGGAGTCCCAGTACCGGGAGCTCCCGGCGACACCGGGACGCCCCCCCCCTTCTCCTCCCCTTCCCCGGGCGCCTGCGGAGAGGGCAGCGCGGCCCCCCTCCGGTATAAGGGAAGCGGAGCGACTGACCGGCCGCGCTGTAAGCGAAGCCCGCGGGCAGCGGCGAGTGCTCGGCCAGCTCCAGCCGGATCACCACCAGAGACACGCTCATGGGCCCGGGCACCGCCGCGCTCCGGGGAACCCAACGCCGACGAACCGAACCACACCGCGCCGCTGCCGCTTCCGCCTCCCGCGCCCTTTCCCCTCCGACCCCGCCGGAGGTCACGGTGACGTAAAAGCGGCGCGATGACGTAAAGCCGGCGGCCGGGGAGAGCGGCGCAGGAAGGGGGCTGCGAGCGGCGCCCGGCTACGCTTCGCGAGATTTCCAGCTGCTTTCCCGCGATGCTTCCAGGTGCTTTCTCGCGAGACTTGGGGAGCGAGGAGGGGGCTGGGGGTCAAATGGCACGGTGAAGCCTGCCCTCTTCCTGGCAAGGCCCGGCCCGGACTAGGCCCTGGGGGGGTCCCGGGAGGCACCTCCGCGCCCCGGCGTCCCCGAGGGTGGCTTCAGGGCTGAGAGGAGGGTTGGGACACTGACGGGGGGTGGTGGGGTGGTGACAGTCCTGCCTAGGCAGGCTTGTGCCACTCACAGGCCCTGTTACCGTGGCAACGCAGCCAAGCTGGCCGGACCAGGCCACCTCCCCTTAGGCCGAAGTGTCCTCCCCCCAAAAACTCCCCCAAAAAACAAACACTCTTTCTTCCTTTTCTCCCACACTCACCACGCCAGTGTCTTGCCGCTCAGGGCTGTGCCCGGCTTTGGTATGGTTTATGCTTAAGTAAAAGAAACTAAAACACAGCCTAGCCTGGGAAATAAGGACTTTGCTTCATGGCATAGGGCTGTCTGTGAAGGATGAAGAATACCCCTGCGTAGCCAAGATAACACCAGCATCCTATAGCCTCTCTAACACATCTTTGAAACCCTTCTAGTATTGTCTGGCATCATAGATAAGTAACTCTAGCAAGACTGACTCCATGGACATCTGGATCAATAGGAGAGCAACAAGAACATTGCAAAAATACAGTGGCTTTGTGCCGTTTTGCTATGATTAGTGAACAGCAGCGTGCCTGTTGCTGATTAGTCAAATTGTGTTGTACCTGAATGTTTGAAGGGCGTAAAGACCCCATGTAAAACCACATTCGGGGTGCCCTGATTTGTCGGGGATGCTTCATGCACATGAATAAATATTTACTCTTTGTAATTCTATACTTTTTGTCCTAGCCTCCCTCCCCAGTTGGCATGGGCCAGTTGTGAATTTTCCTAACACCCTCCGCACAGTTTGCACCATGTACCCGAGGAGCGTTGCCCGCAGCCCTTACCTGCTCTTTGCTGGGGTTGGGCAGCACCTGCAGGGATTAATCCGGCAGAGTAGTTCTGGATGGCGCCGCTACAAAGCCGTGATCTTTGATGCAAGCGGAGTGCTCCTCCCGTCCCCTTACAAGACAGCCATGGGTGTGTATTCTCATTTCTCATCTGCTCCCATTGTTTCTGTGCATGGAGGGAAAATAAGCTTCAGGTGTCCCTGTCAGCTGCCTCTGGTTCTGGTAAGATATTAAAAAACTTGTGACAATGGTGTTCCGCCATTGTGCCATCAGAAGTACTAGAACTGGCAGCAACCAGCAACTGTGTTGACAGCTCCAGGTCAGGGCTGGAACCCACCTGGTAATGAAACTGTCCTGTAGTGACACCAGCAGGTAGCACCCAACATTGGTACAGTCCTTCAGCATGTTTCAAGAACTGCGTGTTTTCACCCCAAGGGCACTGCACCAAAAATAGAAGTGAGGTGCTTCAGTTGGGGAAATGCCCAAACTTCTTCTCTCCATGTTTGGGTAAATTCCCCCAGTCCAGCACGTCAGTTCTCATGAGTGCTGGTCAACGTATCAGACCTCAGCAGAATTTCAAGCTAATTTCCCAGTTTTGATGATGCCATATGTGCTTTCTCTTGGCTTTCCTAATTTTCTTGGTGTAGATTGGGAGGCCCAGAAATGTATTCCAGCCGGCACCGTCCAGCAAGCTATACTCTCTGGAGGAGAAAATAGTCTTTCTCTGAAGTACACAAGAGGAGAGCTGACGACTGTGGAGTTTTTGCGGGAATTGGGACAGCAGTGCTTTGAGATTGTAAGCCAGCCCCAATCCCCCTCTCCTCCCCCCCGCTTTGTGCTTCCTGACTGCAGGGAAATAGGATCTTGCAATGTAATGGTTCAGTGAGGAAAGAGGAGCTTTTAAAAGAAATCCTTTGATGGAATGGTCTGGATTTGCCATCTAGGAAGCATTGCTGTCTGATCAAGGCAGACTTTTCACTGCTGTCATCATTCTGGTACCCAGGCAGGATGGTCAGCTGAATTTGCCTTCACTTCACCAGCCTCTTCCTGCATATTTCATAACTTTTTTTTTTTTTTAAGACACCTTTAGGATCAGCTGAGATGAGAAGTCAGAGAGTCAGAGACCAGCTGAAAGGCCTTTGCTGTTAGTTCGTACATGGACATGCTGGATGGATGGAGACCATGGTCTCTGGGGAGGGTCCTTAAGATCTTAAGATCAGTAGAAGCCCCTCTGCGAACACAGTGCAAGAATCCTCCTTTTGATGAGGTCCTTTTGAAACAGCTCAGCCTAAAATGCAGATTCCTTTCCTGCCTTCTGAATGGTAAAGCAGTATTTGCCTCTAACCTGCCTTGATTCCATGGCAGGCACAGGCCCAGTACATTTCTTTTTCCCCAAATCAGCCCTTTATGCCTGCTGCTGCTTCTGTGGAGTTAGTAATGTGAGAACAGTTGTTTATTTGGTCTAAGCAATTTAGCTGGGAGATTCACTGACTGCCTTCTGCTGCCAAAGGAAGTAGGACAGCAAGATGAGATGATCAGGCAACCTGCCTACCCAAACACTCTTATTTTCCTCCCTGCTTAAAAACCATTTATGACTAATTATCATTCTTGGTGTTTCTCTGGTTTCTTAGGCAAATGTCTGTGTTCCAGTGGACTCTTTTCTCTCGGACTTAATCAGAAATGAGATGATAAAACAGCTCCCCATAATGGCAGAAGCAGCACAGTGTATCCGTGCAGAAGGTCTTAAGACAGCTCTTCTAAGCACCTTCTGCCTGCCGAATGGAGAGAGCTTTCTTTGGAGAAAGCACTTTGATGTGGTAAGCCTGGATGAATTCCAAAATGCATTTCTGTGCCTAAATCTGTAGAAAGCAGCAACTGAAATTCTTTACGTGCGGGTACCAAATGAATGGCAACAAGCAGCACCTGTTAGTAGACATAAACTTAACAGTCTGTGAAAATGTTTCCTGGCATAATTCATTATAGTGACAGGGCCTTGAAGAGGGTCTGAGTGAGTGGCAGGTACTTATGGCTTTGAAAATTCATTGCAAAATGACCACACAACCACAAGTATACGTGTAACAGGCATAGGTAGCGATGTCGGTAGAGGACTTAGAAGCTGGGACACTATACAAGAAAAATAAATGTTATTTCCCAGTGCCCCTGCCCGCTTTATCCTTAGTCCTTACTCTTTTAAGCTTGTTTCATCCCAAAGAATTGCAAAGTATCCTCTATGCTACAAAAAAACCCACCATGCTGATCAGTCTGAGCTGACAAGCAGGCGGAGATCCCTTTCCCAGCACGCTTCGCTTTTCGAAGATGGAGCAGAAGATTAGCCACGAACCTCGAGGCTGGTTTGAGTGGCTTCACTTTAACAGGCAGCTATGAGGACTCGGCTCAGCATGACAGAAAATTTGTTTTGTGTGTCCCAACACATGTTTTTGAATTTCAGGAGTTTATTCATGACCTAAGTTGGTCTTATAGCTTTGTTTGAGACAGTAAAATATGTGAAGAAGAGGTGTATCAATACATTTAAAACCTGGGACTGTTTAAAGTCATCTTGTCAACATTATATCATTATCGACTCGGCTTTCTATGCATTATACTAGTGACACCAGTGCCTATGAAGTTCTCTTAGGGGAGTGATGCTCTTTTGTGATGCTCTGTGGTAACTTTCATCCCAGACTGTTTCAAAGCACTTTAATAACCATGGCCTATCTGGTGTCATCACTCATACAGCACAGCTCTTCTGTAACAGCAGGCAACAGCACTGCACAGTAATTAGTGGGAAAAAAAAAATTAATTCAATGTGGATTTCCATTAGCATTGGCATTTATATCTATCTAATAGATTCATTTCTATTCCTAGAGTGTCTATCAGTGCAAGGGTGAAATACTGCTGGAATTTTTAATGGTTTTGAGGGCAATGTGAGTATTCAGACACTGACTTAAGATCCAAATTTGGGCAGATGGTTATGGTCAACATCTCTGCTGCTGTGCAGATAGCTTGGTGTGGTTGACAGATGTGGCCAGGACACCGCTTTTCCAGATCATTTGGAAGGTGGTGCAATCCCAGGCTTTCTTGGACAGCATTGAGCAATTGGTTCAGCATGGTCTGGGACATCCAGCGAGCCTCCCACATCGTGACATCTCGTTGGATATCTTCCATATGAGGACTGGCTGGTCCTGTTTAGCTTATTTGAGCTGACAGAGCCACAGCCAAGGCAATTGGCAACCCATGCAGTCACTTGAATCACTTCCTACCCAGCTCTCTCCGCCCTCCGTTCCCCATGTCCTTTATTTCACACGTTAATTAGGCTGTCAGTCTCTTTCCCACCCTCCCATCCTCCACTTCCAACACTGCACAGATGTTTGTGGTCACAGTAGACTCATGCATAATCCATTTGTTGTTGCTGTAGATGTTTGAACCTTATCGGGAAGGAATGCGCAAGCCAGATCCTTGTATCTACAAGCTGTGCTTGGAGCGCTTGGGCGTTCAGCCCCAGGAATCCATCTTCCTCGACAACAGCAGCCAGAACCTAAAAACAGCAGCCCAGCTTGGCATTAAAACAGTGAAGGTACAAAGCAGTGCAACCAGGGACGGCTTTGCGTGTGGTTTTTAAGTCCAGAAGCTGTGTTTGACGTGAATGGCCCCGGATTTTCAAATGGCACTGATGGATTAGTGTTGCCAAGCCTTTGGTTTCAGCCTGTCCTTATTCCTACAGGACATGGAGGGGTTAGAGGGGAGGATTACTGGCAAAATCTGCACTGGCCCTGTTTCATTCATGGCTCTAAACCTACAGCCAGTGTAACCTCAGAAAAGTCACTTCTTTACGAACCTCTGTTTCCTATTAAACCATCCTAACCATGTGGTTGAGACAACCACATACACCTGATGTGAGAAAATAAGACATATTTATTAAATTTCTATAAGCTCTGGGGCTTCATGAATCTGTCAGCTGGGAACTGACTGGTTAACCCCTCAGCTTTGGAGATAGTGAGCATGGGGGGTTTTACTTCAGTCGGGACCACTGGGGGAAGGACAAGCATGGTACTAGTGGGAAGAGTGAACTCTGCTCCCCTGGACTGCGCACAGGGAGTTCCAGCTCTTAGCCCAGACCAAGCTCACAGTGCCCCTGCCACCGTAACAGGTACATCTCCAGGACAGAGACCAAGGTGGGAGGCTCAGCAAATACTGGTCATGGTAATGGGCTCCGTGTTGGCAGGGGATGATCTGTGAATTCCTGTGTGTCTTAGATCAGTGCCATTGGGCTCACAGATAAACGCATTGCAGAGCTCTTTCTTCCCTAGGCAATTTTATCTTTTAACTATCACCTAGTGTTACTCTCTCCCTCCTGCTTTCAGGTCGATGATCCAGAAGTAGCACTCAAAGAGCTCAAAGCCTGTCTGGGTTTTCCTTTGCAAAGGTTTGTTCCATATACTCAATCAGTGAGACCAAGCATGGAAATCTCAAAAGAACATCTGCAAAAGTACCTTGGAAATGTTCTCAGTGACCACGCAACAGGTATCACAGGGCTATTTGCTTTGCAGCTTGCATATTCTGGAGCCATTGGATCTTTCCATCATATAACAGATGGATTGAAAAATATTATTAATTAAAGGCTCCTTATCTCCAAGCAAATGTTGCAGCCATTCAGGTTTCCCAGAAATGGGAAACAACATTTTAGGACTTCCTCATTTGTGAGGGATTGTGTAGAAGTTTCCAAAGAGATGCCAGGAATATTCCTGGCCTGTGAGCAATCTATGAGCTATTGCCACACTCCCCAGGGATTTAGGATATAGGAGCAAGATGTAGGTTGCCAATTGCTGCAAGTGAGATTTCAGACCCAGGAGCAGGAAGGGGAAGTAAAATCTTGGGGAAGTGGTGAGAAATAATCCCAGCTCACGCTTCTGTCTGCTGACCCTCTGCTCTCAACACTTCAGGCCCGCTAGTGTTACAGCAGATTGGCCACGGACAGTCTTCCCGGACCTATTTCATCAAGTTTGGAGATCGCTTGTTAGTGCTGAAGAAGGAGCCCTCTGACAGCCTGTGTCCCCCAGGCCCTGCTGTCAGAAGGGAATACAGGTGAGAAGACATCTGTGCTCCTCATGCCAGCCGACTGGGGAAGGAGTGGTAGGAGATCCCAAATAACCCTGTCCTAGGGACAGTGCTCTATTCCAGCCTTGGCTTTTCTGTTCCCCCATCACACATACCTGGCTCCCACATTGCCATCCCCTGCATTTTGCTCAGCTCCGTATCCCAATCTGTGATCTGTTTGCTACGACTCGCGTGAGCAGTCCCGGCTGAGAGACAAGGCTGTGCAACAGCCCTGCAGCTGGCGCTGAGCGTGCTGGTAGGACCCTGTGCCTGTGAAAAACGTACCTCCCCACTCCTGCGTGGTGATCCTTCCAACCCACGGAGCACACCGCAGCTCTCCCAGAGTGCTGAGAGACGCAGGAGCTTGCTGTTGCATCTGGCACTTTAGGTGGGAGAGACGTTGCAGCTGGGCAGCGAGGAGCCGAGCTAAGGGCCAGCCCCATGCTGGAGGGGTCACGCTGTCCCCAGTTTGCTGTGCCAGAGGTCTCTGCCTCAGCAGCGGAGCAAAAGGACGCTTGTGGGGGAGCAGCTGTGATCTCCCCTGGGTTTTCCAGAGTGTGTCAGATAAGCCTCGGGGCTCTGAGCCATTTGAAGATTTCGGTGTGCTTCTTTCCCCTACCCACAACCATGTTATTTTAGTGTATTTAAAACTGAGCGCAGGAGTCTAATATTGTGTGTCTGCCTAGCAACAACGCAGTTCCAGTATCAATTCCCTAATGCCTTTCTGTGCTGACACGGCTCTAACTCGCCTTGGCAGGCTACTGAAGGCACTCTCTAAGGCTGGTGTTCCTGTTCCCACTGTACTTGCTCTCTGCGAGGACAGAAGGTAATCTTGTCCCTCAGTTTTCACTCTGCTTGACAACTGCAGCCAGATTTCCCCAAAGGCAAGGAGAGAAGAGAAGAAGGAGCCAGACCTCACAAAGTGCACTGGTGTAATTAGTGTTTGCCCAATCTCAGGCTAGAGGAGCCTCTAGTAGTTCAAAGGACAGTAACAGTTTTATTTGGCTCATTTTAGGTGTGTCCTTATTTTAACAATTAATCAAAATGCTATCTTCCTTTGAAAAGCTGCTATAAAACAGTGTTATAGGGCTTCCCGCTGACTCACTATGCTCTGGTTTCCAACAAGGAGGTGATTTTTCTCACTGCCAGACCTCAGACTTGCCCCAAGATCTACAGCTGCAATAGCAGCAAGTCTGTGACCAGGACACCCTGCGTAGCCTGCAGTCAGCACCGCCTCGCTCAGATAAAGTCGATAAAGTCTCTGCACTGCAGCTAAATGCGCGCCTGCTGCTCATGGTGTTTGTGCAGCCTGGCTTCAGAGCCCGTGGCAGGGCAGGCAGGGGGGTGGTTGGTGGTGTAGCCTGGCCCCAATTTCAGCTTCCTGGGGCTGGAGGGGCCGGGACTGATCCTGCCACAGCCATGTGCCATCACCTGGCAGCCTGAGCTGGGCTGGAGCCCCAGCCACAGCTGGTTCTGAGCACTCAAGTGCTGTTGGGGATGCTCTTCACCGTGCAGGTCAGGCCCGGGGACACGTTGGAGGTGTGGGGGGAGATTTGCGGGGTGGGAGGGAGCAGGATTCACCTCAGACCCACCGGTTCCACCAGCACCCTTGGCACGCCTTTCTACCTGATGGAGTACTGTGCTGGCCCTGTCTACAGCGACGCATCCCTCCCCGCACTGCAGCCTAGCCAGCGCAGGGCTATTTATGCTGCCATGAGTCAAGCCCTCTCCAAGATCCACAGTGTAGATCTCAGAGCAGCCGAGCTGGAGGACCTCGGGGAGCATGGTGAGAGAAGGCTATGTATCCTCTATCACTGTTTTTTTCTCCTGTGTATCAGCATTTCAAAAGATAGGCTCAGGTACAGGACTCGGGCCAAACTTGGGGGACAATTGGGAAAATGAAGATGGGCAGCAAGATGTCTGAATCCCCAAGCGTGGTGGGAGGGTGTGGAGAGCTGCTTTAGATCCTCCAGGTCTGTGTTTCCTACTAGTAGTCCCCTGAGCTTCCTGCCATGAGCAAGAGCTGCACTGTGGGTGCGGGAGTAACTAGTTTACTGCCATCTCTGACCAAACTTCCTCAGCTCATCCAGTCTCTCTGCAGAGCTATCTCAGCTTCTTGGAATTGGTGGAAAAGTTACATTTTGTGCAGGATCTGATTACTTCCACCAGAATATCAGCTCCAGTGCCCAGTTAAGAATGTATGAGACCCCTGAAAACCACAGTTAAACTCTTGGAGCCTATCTCAGGGTGCTGGACTGAGATCTGCTTGGCTGTTTGACTCGTTCTGCATGCAGCTTTTGTGCACCTCTTTTGAAGCCTCTTTGTGCCAGTCCCTTTCCCTGAGAGCCTTTGTTCCTCTGCTACAGGTAATTACATTCAGCAGCAAGTTGAGACCTGGACAAAACAGTATCGAGTGATGGAAACTCATGTTATCCCAGCAATGGAGAGACTCATTGAGTGGCTGCCTCTGCATTTTCCTGAATCTCAGAAGACGACAGTTGTGCATGGTGATTTCAGGTACTGCCTGGCTGACAGCACTGGCCAGGAGCACATCTCAGGCAGTAGAAAGGCAGAGAAAGTGTAAAGCAGTATGCAAACTCCACAGAGGTGCTGAGCTGGGCTGGTGCAGCAGGTTCAGAGCAGTCCAAAAGCTGGGCTCTGGGTCAAGTTCAGCATCCCCCCAGGTAAAGAGATCTAGAGGGCCAGAAGCCCTTCACATCTTCCACAAGAAACATATCCCAAGAGCCCTGACTGGTGCTGTCTTTCACCCAGAGCTCTTGCATTTTCCCCAGCGTTCATCTGCCTACTGATCTGTAGCAGTTTAAAGCAGTGCCCATTTGAAATCTGGGCAACTAGGGGCAGGAACTGAAAGCCAGGACTCCTGATACCCAGTTCCAAGTTTGCTGCCTCACTGGTGTTTCAGTTTCTTCACTCAACCACTGCAATCACTGGTCTAACACCGGAGGATCATCAGCTGGTTTTTCAATACTCAGAAATCAGTCCTGGTCCATCTTCTTAATGGTATTTGGTGCTTAAAGAGTTTAGGTGGCTGGTGGGATATATGGCAAAACCTGCCAGTGTCACGGGCGAGGTCACACAGGAGCGTGGTAGCTGGGGACAGAGGTGAGGGATGCTGAGAGCTACTTCTGCGTTGCCAGACCCTGTCTGCCAAGGCTCCTTCCCACAAGGTTTAGTGCACACAGTTCCAGCGTGACTGGAAGCTGGCGAGCTCTTTGCACCCTGGCAGGATGGCTGCCCTCTCTGTTTCCTCCTTAGTAGGCTGCTGCTCTCTCCTGGGGCTCATGAAGACTGTATGATGTATAATCTACAGCACATGACAGTGCAGGGCCTGGAGTTATGTACATTTGAAATGACCAGAAGATCCCTCTGTACAGTGACTTGCCTGCTCCACTTTTTGGCTGGCCTCTCCTGTAACATCTGTTAATGATCTGAGGCCCTGAATAACTGTTTCATTCTTCAAAGCACAATTCAATTCATAATTAATCAGGGAGTTCACTATTCAGTAACCTTAGTCCTCTGACCTATGCTTGCAGAAATTAATTTTTCACTTTTGTAGCCTCCCAAAGGCTCAGCAATTTTTTCAGAGTGAAGAGCACTGGAAACCACATGCTGCTGCTGAGCATTGGGATTTTTTTTCCCCTGCTTGAAACTTCTCTGATTTGTTTTTCCCTCTGATACAGGATGGACAACCTGGTCTTTCATCCAGACAGGCCAGAAGTCCTTGCTGTCCTTGGCTGGAAGCTTTCGACTCTAGGAGATCCCATCTCTGATTTGGCGAATAACTGTATGGCCTACTTCCTGCCACCTCACTTTAATGCACTGAGAGGTACAGAGAGGGGCAAAGTCACGTTTGACACACGGAGAGAGGAACCAGAGTTCAAAACCAGATTAGCTCCTGCCCAGAGAGCTCAGCTGACAGCTGGGCTCATTGCAGCTGCAAAGGGCTGTGGGTCTCATACCATATTCCCTGCTCTGCCCTTTCTCCCCTCCCTGAAGAACCTTCCATCCCTCCAGGGTAGAAACATCTTTCTGCACGTGCAGTTATCACTGTGCCATGGTTGCCCCATCCCCGGTTTGTTTCGTACCTGCCACCCATTTGGCAGATGCTCTGCCATGCGCTCCCTGGCCTGGTTGGAATGGTCACCCTCTTCATGCACTTGGATCTTTGTTAGCACTCATGTCAGGGATGGCCCCAGAGAGAAGGGCCCTGCTTCACAGCTTGCCAAACTGTGTTTAAAAATTATTTTGGATTATTTTCCCTCTCACTTCAGTTGTCAAGCCGGTGATAATTTTGGGGTGAAAAGCTGTGAACTAGACCAGCCCAGAAGGGGTTTGCCCACAAAGTTATACGCTTGTTTAAAAGAACAATATAGGGGTAAACAGGGAGGAAAATTACTCCATTGTTTAGGAGGAAGATCCATCAGATCCATCAGCTTTCACAATCTCACCCCAGTGAAGAAAACTGCCCCGTATGCATTTCAGCTACGTGGGTTGGTGCCAAACCCCCATCATTACGTATGGAAACAGCATGGCAGCAGTGCAGGTGTTGGATGGGTGCAGGTGTCTCCGCTGCTCCACAAGCCTCATGGCATCCCTAGAAAGCTCCTCGCTCCTCACTGTCTGCTACTTCACTGTCACCTCTTCATGTTTTCCAGGCTTGAGGAAGTGCAATCTGGGGCACCTGGGGGTCCCCACGGCAGAGGAATATTCCCAGATGTACTATGGCCACATGGGAGTGGAGCACCCTGAGAACTGGAATTTCTACATGGCCTTTGCCTTTTTCCGACTGGCTGCAATGCTGCAGGGACTCTACAAACGCTCCCTGGCAGGTGAGGGACCTGGCCACAGCAGCTCTGCTCTGCACAGGTCTCCAGCCAGAGCACAGACACACGAGCGCCAGCGTGGGGAGAGCTCTCACACTGAATCAGGAGAGGCCAAACCGGCAGCACGTGCTTCAGGGTTTGGGCATTCCTGGCTGTGAATCTTGAGAGCTCCAAAATTTCAGGTGCTACAGCAAAACGTGGCTTGTCTGGCAGTCCTGTGCTTTCAGCATAGAGCTGTTATGGGAAATAAGGGCTCGAAATGAGCGATCTTGTTTCATCTCTACATTTGGATATGAGTGACCTGGAAGCAATCGTCCAGCGAGTTATTGCTGTGTGTAGACAAGAGGGATGGGACTAGAGTGTCCTGTAAAGGACAGAACTCCCTCCCTGCTGCCACGCAGGCTCTGGAGGGTGTGAGGCTGCTGTAACCTCTCAGACAGGCTGCACTGGGTGGTCAAGCTGCGTCCTGCAAACAGAAAGAAGGGGAAGCACATGTGGGGAACTTCCCCAGCGGCTGCTTTTTGCTTGATGCAAGGTCAGGTCTGTTCCCGTTTGCTGTTTGTGTTGATCGGAGGTTGCTGTGTGGTCTCTTTTCTTTCATGGGAGAACTGAGCAGAGGCCAGAGTTCAGAGCTCAGAGCCGTGTCCTACAGGTGGAGCTCTCAGACCTCCAAACTAAGCACCAGCCTTGGCAGAAAGACTTGGAAGCAGGGAGGTGGTGTGAACTCTCAGTGCTGTTTATCTGCATACGTCAGGTCTGGCCTGAGAGTCTTTATCAGAGAAAAACAAGATGTTATTTTCATATTCCTTAGAGAGGAGCCTCCCCGAGTCCTGCTGGGCTGGCCCAGACAAGGGCACGTGGCACTGTTTGGGATGTGACTCCATAGCGTGAGCTCTTTCAAACAAAACTGTCCTATTCTTTTGTCCCCAGAGAGGCCAGCCCCAGGTGAAAGCAGCTCGGAGGATGCAGAGTTTGTGGCTGACCTGGCTTGGGAGTTTGCCATAAAAGAAGGATTCCGGGTGTTTGACAGCCTCCCCACCACAAAGCCTCTCACACGACGTTACAGTACCTGGGCCAGGCGAGGGCCATTCCTCAGCAGGGGCTGTGCTACCTGCCCACGTCCTGCGGCAGCTCCTGTGCCCAAAGTCCCCCTGGTCACTCCCCCCACCAGCCTGCTGGGGGTGGCCCAGGGTCTTTACTGCAAGCTGGAAAAGATCACGGCCATCCAGTGGGCTTTTCTGATTTCCCAGCCCAGATGGGCTCCATGTCCTCTTCTAGAACAGAAGGTGAGATGACTTCCTCCCTAAAGTTGCTTTGCTGCTCCTGCACCAGGCTGGGGGATTGTGCCATGCCTCTGAGTGCCCTCACTATATATCATGTCAGACATTTGGCATTCAGAGAGACCAGTGGCTTGGAGAAAGGGGGCCAGGCTCCCAGTGCTGGCTACGTTCGAGTAACGGAGTTCATATTCTGGGAAGCAGCAATTTCAGGAGCTGGCACACCCAAGATGAGCAGATGAATGCCAGCCCAGCTGTAATTGCTGGTGCCTCTCCACTGAGGTCCTGCCATCAGTGCTGATGGGGTCCCAAGAGCTTGGCTGGGCTTGGGCTTTTCTACATCTGCCAGTCCAGCACTTGCTCATTCCCTTCCCCTGTCAGGCAAAGCCTCGCTGCTGCCTGTGTGGGAAAGGATAAGTTAATTCTCTTTGTAACAGTCCCTCTTGGGACTTCCTTGGGAGATCCTTCAGGCAGGGCAGGGAGCGGCTTGCACCTTCACAGCTTCATTTCCTCCCTTGTGTTCTTTTATCCTCCTCTTCCTGGCAGGGTCTGGTCCTGCAGACATCCCCGTCAGCAAAGTCACCTGCCCAGTGATAAGTCCGGTGTGACCAGGCCCTTGGCAGTGCAGGCTCTGAGATGCCACTTGGACTTTGGCCCTGCCACCATCCCGGGCCCTCCCATGCAGCGCAGCTGCTGCTGCAGCCCTAAACCCTCAAAATGGAGGGGCACTGGTTATTCCTGGTCTGGTGGCGAGGAAGCAGAAACCAGCTGCCAAAGCGGCTTGCCCACGGTCCCGGGGTGGCTCAGTGGCAGAGATGGGAACAGCATCAGCTCTCAAAGTTTTAACTGCACGTCTCTTCCTTCTGCCAGCGCAAGGCGGGTCGGGTCAATGTGCAGGTATCAGGACACCGGAGTTCCCTGCCCAGGCTCTGCAAACTGTCTGGTTTCTCTCTGCTTCCAGTTCCCTGTGCTGTTGGTGGCCACGGCACGGCTCAGTGAACCCATGGCTCTGGGCTGGCTGGTGTTGCAAAAAGATTTTCCGGGAGTGGTGTCATAAGTAATCATTCACAGAGTGTGTCAGGAAAGCAAACATCTCTATCCTTGGGTTGCTACTGAGATTATATTCGTAATGTATTCTAGTGACATTATGGAATTCTAGTGGGTTACTTAACTGCCTTTTAGCTGCCAAAAAAAAAAAAAATCCCATCTGTTTTTCAGCCCTTCAAAAGTATTTCCTTGCGCTCTGGCAGAAACCAGCAAACCCCAGCATTTCAGGGTGCTTAGCAGCTGATCCACTGAGAAGGTGGAAAGGGAGGGGAAGCAGCGGCTCTGGGGAATTTGGAGGTGCTGAGATGAGCAGATCTCCTTGCCCTTCTTCGAAGCGCTCTTGTTCAGATGGGGAGAGAGCTGCCAAGTCCACAGACATCAGGATTGCCACTCTCTCTCTACTCCATGCTTTGGGATTGTGGTGGAGACACTGCTTCTTGTCTGGGGGACCACAGAGCCCCCTCATCCCTGCCATCTCCCCGTCCATCCCACTGCTCTTTCCCTTGGCATCATCCCTGCACTGTCAACCTTTGCTGTGGAAGCATGTTGTGAAATCCAGGGGAGGAGTTTTGCTGCCGGCAGCAGAAAGATAATGCAGTGGAGTGTTAAAACAGCTAAGTAGCCCTGGCCTGGGACTGTTAAGGTGCTCAAAAGCTCGGCAAGGGCCAAGGGAAAGGGTGAGCCTGCCTTGCGCCAGCTGGCACGGCTGGGGTGAGGAAGGTTCATCCCAGTGAGCTTGGCAGAGAGATGCCCTTGGCTGAGGCACTCTCTGCTGGCCAGGGCGGCGTCTGGGCTGCCCCTGCCACGTCCCACGTGGGGAGCCAGCAGGCTTTGCACGCTGGTCCCCCAGGCTGCCCGTCCCCACGGTTCTCTGGGGAGATCCTCTCCAGAGGAGCAGGGCAAAGCTCAGTTTCTCTTTCAGATTGAGCAGAAGGGCTTCTGGGCAAAGCACTGGGCACACAGCGGCACTACCAGCGTCGGGCCTGGGGAGGAACAATCGGAAGGGGCCAGCACCAGGGTAGGGGGATGTAGGAGGATATAATGTGCCTTGTCCTCTTCCATCAGGCAGAGAGTGCCAGGACCAAAGCAGCAGCTCTGACAATGATTGTACAGGCCATGGATCAGTATAGCCCAGTGAGCAGACACATGCACCTAACATCTGACCCTTCGCTGGCCCAAATAAAGCAAGACAGTGACACATCCCTTCTGGGGTGTCCTCCACACCAGGAATGAGGCATTGCAGGCTAGGGCCCGTGAGCACAAGGGGTGATTTTTCCTGTTATGGTATCCCAGGGGAGGACGTTTTCCCAGCACTGCGTTCCTCAGGGCATTTGGAAGGGGCTGGGGTATTTGCTGCTGTCCTTCCCTGGTCCTGCAGCCCCTGACTTACCCTGTGTGGGCTTTGATCTCACCCTCACACAGGTCTCTGGAGCAGAGCATCTCAGCAGCGCAGACCCCAGCCCGGTGCTTCACTCTGACCCAAGCTCCACGTCTGGCGGAAGGTCCCGCGTACTTCACAGCACAGTGCTCTCCAAACCAGAGCTGAGCCACTAGCTGCTGCGCCAGGGAGCCTTGGACATGAGACTAAACCAGCCACTCTGGCACAGGAGAGATCGTGCTAACAGCAGCCTGAGAGCTTCTGGATTTCAGAGCTGTTTGCTGTTATCTCGTTTGTGGACTCAGTGCCTTTATTGCCAGGCTTCACAGGTGTGGAGCAAAATCTGTCCCTGGATCATGGGGCTGCAGGCAGTCAATACCAGCCTTGGGGTCAGGAATGAGTGGGTGGTGGTGCAGGGTTTTGTTTGGGGAATAAAGAGAATGGAGCAGGGTGTCTCTCCTCCTTCAGCACGCTATCTGCAGATGCTAGAAGGACTACAGTCAGTGGTGAGGGGAATTGAATCAGCTCCTCAAGGATTTCAGGGGAGGCTCCGGAGCTGAGGCAATGCCTGGCCCCTGGAGCTGGGAGGGACTGGGAGGACTCCATGGTCCCCTGACTGTGGTGGATCTCTCTGGGTTTCTTTGGGGACCATGAAGGACGCAGACTGAATCAATGGGGGCTGTCAGTGCTTCACACAGGCCAGCACCAAGGGGAGAAATGTGGGAACAATCATGGTAATTCCTGGGCTCTTTACGTATAATCTAGTATTAATTCAATATTAAAGTGATGGGCACACTTCTCTGAGTTCTGTTCCAGCTTCTCCAGCGCAGGCGCCGCCTCACAGCTTCACTTTCACAAAGCCACGTCCATCTGCTGGGGCTGTGCCACAGAGCTGTCGGGAAGCCTTGTAATTTGAGCTTTCATTTCTCCCAGGCTCCAGGGTGAAATTCTGTCTCGCTTGGCTTTGCTGCAAAGGGGGAGGGAGACTGTCTGAGCCTGGATCTGCCCAGCCCACACAGTTGGGATGATTTCCTAGCAGACACCTGGCCTTTGCGCCTCCCACCGTCTCATTTTTCAGGCAGGCTTAATCCCAGCCTGTTTTTGCAGGGTTGAGAGTTTGAGGTTGAGAGTTGAGTTTGCCATGAAGGTGTTTCCTCCGTTGCACGTGATTGTAGTGCTGCTGGGTTTGCCTGCTAAACCCCAGGGAAGGGAAGGGTCCTGCTCAAGGGGAGTAAAAGCATTAGCACAGGGCTAATGCTTAAAATCATTGGTTGTCCCTCTGGGTATCAGCAGGAGACACACAGGACGTGCTATGGGAGCTTAGGCTGGAGCAAGGCCGGGGTGGAGAGCTCAGCTCTGAGACGTGCCCTGTGGACAGGCATCCTGGCCCGGTCCCTCTGGGAGATCCACCGCACACAGGCTCGTCTCTGCAGGTAAAACAGGTCTTTCTGGCATCTCCCAAAAGTGGTTTAACACATGCAGGTCTGCAATAGGAGGGAGAACGTGTTGGAACAAGCGGTCCCCATGAGTGCCACCTCCCCAGGGGCTGCCCAGGACCCGCTGTCTGGGGCACCAACGGGGAATCGAGCACCCTCCAGGGAGTATGGGCAGCCAAGGACGAGAGAGGCTGAGATCCAGCGCAAGAGGATTTCTTTTCAGCTGATTTAGGAAGCACGCAGCCTAATCTGAGTCCTGCTGGATAACCTTGGGCAGTCGCTTTGCTTCTCTGCTGGTTCCTCCCTGCAAAACGGGGCTGATATTCCCCTCCTGAGTGAAATGCCTGCAGAACTGCAGATGCAGGAACTACCACTGTGCTACCCCCCTGGGTCTTCCTGGACAGCAGGTTAAACTATTTTTGAATTGGCATATTCTACAATTTTTCTGGCGCCTTTAGTAAACCAGAGCCATCTACCCCCAGTTACCCTTCAGAGACCCATCACTGAAGGAGCCAAAGAGGTGCTGTCAGATCCAGGGTAATTACCCACAGGTTTACTTTGGAGGTTAAAAACTCTTTGTATTTTTGGTCTGTGGCTTCCTCAGTGATGACGATGATAACTGGAGAGCAGCGCTGTTCCCTGCATGTGAATCTGCACTTTGGCACGCTGAAGTTGCACGTCTCTTAAGCAAACAAGCAGAAAAGGCCTTTAGCCATTGTCGGGAGCAATTTTATGGAGCCTCTCATTTGTAAGCACCGAGTAGTGTTCCTGTTGTGCAAGTACTTTGCTGGCTTTGCTCCGCTCCCCCTACACACAGTGGTTTCTTTTTTAGACTCCTGTGTGCATGCTAACAGCAGCATGTCCAGGTAACCAGGGGTCCCCGACCGTTTACCTCGTCACACCACCTTCCCTGCAAAACTAACAAGCGCAATGGAGATATTTCTGGTTTTCCTTGCCTTTCTCCTCCTTGTAGCCTGTACAAAATTCCCTGGGCACGGACAGGGAGAGGAGCAGGGGCAGTCAGTGCCGGTGCTGGACACCCATGAGGCATCCCTGGCGTGCCAAAGCAAACCGTGCCAATGTAATCCTAACTGAGCCGGGCTGCGCCCACCCGAGCAGGGCTGATCTGAGCTGTTCCCAGCTGAGCCACGGCAAAGCTGCTCCGAACGGCACCGAGCTGCAGGGCCCGAACGGAGCTGAACCGAACCAATTCGATCTCAAGCGAGTTGGGCCAAGCCGCTTAGACCCGGCCCAGGCTGTTGCAGGCAGAACCGAGCCCAGGCGTGGCGGGGCGGAGCGGGGGCGGGGCGGGGCCGGCCCGGAGCAGCGGGGGCCGTGCCCGCTGCCCGCCGCAGCGCAGGGCGGAATGTTGCGGGCGGCGCTGAACGCTTCCTGGCTCTGCCGAGGCCCGGCCCGGCTCGGTGCCCCCTTCTCGGCCGCCGCTTCCCCCATCCCGGCGCCCAACCCGCACCCCGATATCGCCTGCAACAAGGTAAGGCCGTTCCCGGGGGGCCGGAGCCCACGGGCAGCCCCGGCGGGGGCTTCCCCGGGAACCAGCTGGGCGTGGGGGTCCCCGGCTCGGGTGGGTTGTCCAGACCGCCGGGATGGTGGGGTGCAAGGGCTGAGGACACCCCGCTTTAATGCGGAGGCGGGCAGGCCCCGGAGCAGCTGGAGGTTTGGGCCCAAAGCCTTGCGTTGTAGGAAATCTGCTTGGAAAAAAAGCAAGTCTGAGTGCAGCAGCCGGGGTGAGGCACAAGGCGGGTGTCCTGCAGCGGTCGGGCGTTATCCTGAACGCGGCGGGTGTTTCAGCTAACCGCAGCCATCCGGAGAACCAACCCCAGGAGAAAACCACTTGAGAAGGCGTGTGAAGGGAGGGGAAGGTGCCGTTGTCTGCAGAGGTTAGACCCTGTGCTCCTTGCTCAGCAGCCCTGGGGAAAACACCGTCCGATCATCTGTTCGAGGTGCTGGTGGAGGATCTGGCATTCCTCTCCCCAGTGTGACAAGGCTGCTGGTGGTTGGCGGAGCGTTGGGCCAGCACCACGATCTTTGCACTGACCCTCTCTTGGACCAGACCCAAAAAAAAAAAAATTGCCCTTACTGAGGAAAAAAAAAAAAACAGAGGTGGTGAAAAGCTGCTGTTGGCACCTGGTTCCGTTTTGGAATGGCACACAGGGAACCTAAAATCAGTTAATGAGGGAAATGTTGCAAAAACTCCAGTGCTGTGTATGAAATCAACTGTATCGTCTGTGCCTGGAGCATTTTCTTGCTGTTGGGTCTCCTCAGGCTTCCGGTGTCCCTGCGCAGCTCCAGCCAGGCTTCCAGGGACCTACTGGGACAGGAACTGCCTCCAGTTCACGAGCCGTTTGCTGAGATGTGAATTCTTCTTATTAACTTGAGGCTGTGTCTTTTGCTGTGTACTTTTAGGCTAAATATCTGCTTCATATCGGTGCAGTTTTGGAGCCTTTAATTAAACAGCCTGCCAGGATGCCATCAAACAAGTACAGCTCTTACTGATTTCCCCTAAGCCTGGCTCTGAACCTTAACACTGTTTTGCTTTTTTCATTGCAGATTTTCATAAATAATGAATGGCACGATGCTGTCAGTAAGAAAACCTTCCCTTCTATCAATCCAGCAACAGGAGAAGTTATCTGCCACGTTGCTGAGGGCGATAAGGTAAAATGTTCTCTTGATGAGATTGGGTGGTTTTCTGCATGAGCAGGTACACGGGGGTCGCAGAGGCAGACACTAACTCATCTCTCACTACGGCAGCTCTGCTGAGTGCCCTGTTTGCAGTAGTAAGTGTCTGACCTGTCCAAATACCACAGCGAGTGATGCTTATGTTCTTCTTTGACTACTTGTCCTTCGTGGTCTTGTGGGTGCTGTGCTGGTGGAGTGACCCAGAGACAAATGGTCAGGATTCCTCTCAACAGCCCCCTCCTGCTGTACACATGCAGTGGGAGTCCGTCCCCAGCCCTAGGAAATTAAAAAAAGAGAAAGAGATGGTGGAGAATAGAGTCATGTAACCATCCCATGCCTTGCGCAAGGCCCTCCTAGGAGTCCGTGGCAGAGCTGAGGTGGGGTTTCCCACCATTTTGGGTTCTTCCTACAGCCTCAAAACTTGTTTGTGTTCCCCAAGGGAGGGGTGAGTGAGGGAAACCCTTAGTTGTTTGCTTGTCCTGGCAGGACCATTACAGCAAGCCAGAACAGAGAACCAGCTAGAAACCAGTAAGTGCCCTGACTGGACAAAATTGGAGATATCTGATCGAGGAAGAAACTGCTTTAGGCGAAATCAAGTCCTGAAAGAATGTCAAAAGCACCCTTCTAGAGCTTTTTCTATGCCTTGTTCTAGGATGCAATTATATCCCCGGCAGGTGACACTGTGGAAATAACCTGACAATATTTGCATCCTGCATAGCTGAAATACCAGGGAGCACAAGTGCAGGCAGAGGTGGAGGCTGCACAGCTGCTGCACTCGTCTGTCTCACTGCTGCTTCTGCTCCCTCTTCCCCGTGGGCGCAGGCTGCGAGTTCTTGCCCCCGGAAAAGCTGGCTGGAGCAGCTGCTTGGGCCGTCTGGCTGGAGGCGGTTTTCTCCTGGAGACTGGGGAGGGCTTCAGCTGTACTGGGAGAGACTGAAGTGGGGCTGGGTACTGCTTTCTCACCCTCCTGTGTGGAATCCTCTGCAGGCAGATGTGGACAAGGCCGTTAAGGCAGCCAGGGCGGCTTTCCAGCTGGGCTCGCCTTGGAGGAGGATGGATGCTTCTCATCGGGGGAAGCTGCTGAATCGTCTTGCTGACCTGATCGAGAGGGACCGGGCTTACCTGGCGGTGCGTATCGCGCTCTGCGGCGCAGCTCTCTGCCGCGGTCCCTGACTGCAGACACGGGGGTTTGGGCCTGTCGGGTGGGGGGGGGACTGTAGCCACAGCTAAAACCGTGAGAGAGCGCTACGAAGGATGGGGAAGTCATTTTGGGGAAGCTGAAAGCAAAATGGCCAACGTGCAGAACCGATCTGAGTCGCAAACGGAGAGTTGCATCTAAATCTATACATGTGACTTTCCCCGCGTTGCTCTTCAGGCATTCTCATTGTCTTTTGCAGGCGCTGGAGACGTTGGATAATGGCAAACCGTACTCCATCTCCTACCTGGTGGATTTGGACATGGTAGTCAAATGTCTCAGGTAGGGGCGGAGGCTGCAGTGATGATGCAGTAACGCTCCCTGCTTCATGCGTGTCCTCAGCTGGCGCGGGGTAGCCAAACCTCTGCTCGCGCAGAGACCAAACGGCTCCGATGCGAGCGCTGGGGTGACAGGCCTGGATGGTTTCATTCACCCCGCAGCAGGGTCAGGCACCTTGTTTTCCTCTATTT